CAGTAATGTCAACATTACTGTGTTCCGGTTTTGAAGGGTAAGGGTGCTTGTGAAATTACTGGCACATGGGACTTGTCAACGTATGTCTCAGGGTGACGGGCGCAGTGGCAGTGCCCCACAGATATTTGCGATTTAAAGCTCTGGATGACACTGCAACTGTTATGGACAGGCGTGTAGCTTACCATCAGGCGCACGACTTGTTCACCCCGTCACTTGATATTATATATTCTGTTCTATTGAGTCTCAGTAGAATATTAGTGATGGCATTCATTCGTTCAACACTAACGATCGATGTTACCTTGCTAAAAATATCACGGAAATTACTATGCCTGTCTTAATTTTTATCCCGTTTAATCAGCTGGAGGCGATGCACAATGCGACGTAGAAAAATGTCAAATATCTGACATGGCCTTAGCTCCTTTATTTATTTTCCATCTTTCAAGTTCCTGACACAACACGGAACATTCATGGTAGAGGTATTAGCCGTTAAAGCAGGTCATTAACGTGACAATGGAAACAACCTTGACCATCCGCGCGAGTTACAATCGTGAGTTGGAAAATAGCCTTACATAACTATTATTAGTACATAACTAGTAATTCCTAAAGTGATGTAACATTGACTAGAAGATTGATAAAATTAGATTAAAATTATTGTCACAGCACGATCGAAACAGCTATGGACAAATTAATGGCCGATACACCCTCAAATATCTGGTTGACTCCGTATAACAGTGAAACTGTTGATATCGCAATCACTTTGGAAAAAATGTATAGTAAAATTGAGGATATATACTTATTAGTATACGGTCATTGACTTACAAATAAATGGACGACGGGTCTAATACACAAACCATGAAAAAAATGTCTCAAGTCAACCTATTTAAACGTAGTGACATGTAAAGGAATATGAAAAAGCTAAAACGTTGAATTTAAATTGTAATGTCATCGCAGTACTGTCTAATTTTGCTTGCTTCGCTGTCAGTCGAACAAACGAAGACTAAAGCGTGAATGACGAAAAAACCACCACTGATAGATATATCTCTAGAAAAAAACAAACTTACTTCGAAATTTTACAAGAAAACAGCTGTATTCAATAAGTACTTCATATATACCATTTTTCTTTTTTATATCAACTGAAGTAAATAGTATACGATATGCATTTTTCAAAAGAGTTTAATTTCGTTTGTAATAAAATAAATTCTGAAATAAACCAGTGTCAACTTGAATTCGAGCTGGGGTAGTATCGAATCTTAAGTCCTTATTAATAAAGTTTTGGTCACTTGAGATGGTAAATACTGCCACCTTACCTATTTCTGCAGCCAAGCGGTAATGTGGCCATTATTGTGTTCAAGTTTTGAAATTCCTGACAGAAGGGACTTGTTCGTCTTGTCGATTGCCATCATTAAAAAAGCTTCCATCACTATGTTTTCCTTTACCACTAGACGTGTCACTAAACATTCAAGAATGTAAAATCGACACCTCCAATTAACACTACGCCTATTTATTTTCTGTTATTTATGTACTGCCATATTTATAATAGTATAATAGTACGGTCTCCAAATTTCGTAAAAAAAAGAAAAAAAACAGGATTGGAAAAAAAAACTAATTTGATGAAAAAAAAGAAAATAAAAACAAAACTGGTCGAAAAATTAAGATGGCGTAATGTTCATTGGATATATCGAAATATAAAACCTACATAGATACCAGTGACGAGGCTTGAAAATTGTTGTTAGCCGGAGTAAAACAACAAACATCTACCTTAAGAAAAAATGGCGCCTTGGCGACACTTACATACTGCTAACACTAAGTACTAGTACACTTCATTTCACTGGTTAACTTCTTGTACATTTAAAACTTAGCACAAAATGTAGTATTTGATAATACATGAAAAATTTAAGGCAAGCCGATGAAAATCGAGTTACATAGACGCCTCGCCACTGATAGATACATCTCTAGAATGACGTGTTTGTTGTGACGACGGTACGACACGGGCGTGGGCGGGGTGACGGTAAACGAAGAGGAGGTGTCCACAGTTATTTCGATCGCGTTGTTTCGCTTTAGATTGATTCTACATAACTAGAAAGTAAAACTATTGGAAAAAAGTTATTTTCTGGTTCTTATTATATAAATCACATTTGTTTGAGCTTAATATTATAAGAATACTGATTATTGTTTCTGTTCAAGTTCTTGTTCTGGACAATGTATCGCATCTTTAGAATGAAAGTGACTTAATAAAAAAAATAAAGAGTCTATACCGTAAAATGTCTTCAAAAATCATTGTTAATAAGTTTGTTAGTCTAAACCTGATCCATTAAAGTTGGAATGTCACAGACTTGGGTCTCTTTTATGTGTTCGAAATTCCACTCCCGCATCGGTATGAAAACGCCATATTTCGTGTTGAATCAACACCATTGGCGAGAGAGCCAATCTGTGACGATTAAGTAGTTTTCTTTCCGAAAATCATCATTACATTTTCACAAACGCGACTTACTTTATAACTAAGAGGCTTAACCTCTCCGTGGCCGAACGGTTACCATGCTGGACTGCCACGCTAGAGATTTGTACGGATTCTCTCGAGAGTTTGGGTGTAATTTGTGATTGTCTATGTCTGTGCCCGTGGATCCCGCGATACAGGGTTTCCCTACTGCGGAGCTGAGTGTATGCGTTAAAAAAAAACCTTGATAAAGTCTTATCTTGCTTAGCTTGGTGAAAATGAAATATATAGTCAAAAATAACAACAAAAAAGTTCTGTAAAAATTGACCTCATAGAGATTAGTCATTGTTAATTGTATTTAGTAGCAGTAGAGCTCGTCGTGAAAGAATTCGTCCAGGGTAGTACTCTGTGTTCCGGTTTTGAAGAGTAAGGGTAGCACCCTTAAAATAGCAATTTAAGATCTGAGTGGCACATTGCAATTGTTATGGACAGGCGTGTAGCTTTCCATCAGGCGTCGTCACTTGACATTATATATAAAAAAAATACATTGTTAAATATCAAAATAATCAGAAATAAGGCATGAGGTTATAAATGTCGAATATTTCATAATTATTTTCCAGGACTAACAATTCCATTTTTAGTACTTCAAGAGTAATAAATATAATGTGAAAATGTTACAACTTTAAATCTTATTTTGCTCTCTTTGATTTTGTGTTGGGTCACTTTCATTCTAAAGGTACATTATATTTAGGTTAATATTGCATAAACTTACCTTTATATTATTTGATCATTAAGATAAAAATTACGACTAAAATACAGTGGCAGATACTTATTGTATAATAAGGGGCAATGCTGTTGTTCACATAAATACATTTCTATTTCATTAGAACCTACAACAATATTAACTGCGCTAAAAATATTACTTAATAATTAATCGCTCATAACAATGGTCGTTACTCTTAAAATAATCTTTATTTTTTTATTGTCACACACATAACTATTGTCACTATTCTTTTCAGTTGTATGTTTGTATGAGAAAGAGCAACTCCTAGAGTGTCTTGCTCATTCTTCTCTAGGGAAACCGCCTTAGGAATGAGCAGTAGAGTTTAATTAATGTAACGGTTTCAGATGTAACATAGATTCATAGGTAAGCATCTATGAAATAAAGATTATTTCTCTTTGAAAAATCATGAATTTTCGTATTCATTAAGTTCACAGATAATTGATGAACTAACTGCAGAAACGTGCTGTTATTTGTAATTAACAATCAGGGCCCCAGAGTGTCTTTGAGAGATAAGTTTAAGGAAATTAACATTTTTACACTAGCATCACAGTGCATTTATGAAAATGTAATTTATGTCAATAGGAATAGTAATTTCTTTAGGAAAAATAGTGACAGACATGACAAAATGAATGCGAGGAATAAAAATAAACTGGCTGTTCTTGATAGTCGTCTTAACAAAGTCACAAATTCATGTAAGGGGCAAACAAACAAAAGCTTTATACTAAAGGTTATAACACAACTTCTGCGTACTTGGATGACAAAAATCCGTGGCAGTGACCCGTTTAGCTAATGGAGGTAGTCTCGATCTCTGATATTGGAAAACAAGGAAAAAATGTATTGCTAATGTTGAATGAGTTGATGCTAATGATTACAAACGTTATTTACAAAGAGCAACCCCTAGAGATTCTTGCTCATTCTTCTCAGGGGAATCTGCCTTACGAATGAGCGGTAGAGTTTAACCATTGTGACGATTTCAAGTGTAATAATGCTTACCTATGAAATAAAGATTATTTTGATTTTTGATATGGAATTCTACTTTCTTTTTACGTGCTTGCACTATCTAACAGAAATACAATATACAATAATACCTCTTTAGTTAATATAGTGATCATAACGCAAATACCCAAATATTAACTAGTACACCTAGTTACAGTAACTGACAAAGAAAGCGTACATAATAAGTGAATCAATAAGGACCTTATTATAAGTAATAGAGTATGAAAATATTAGTAATAAAATAACAAGAAAGTAGAATGTTAAACAAAAACGCGGATAAATATAACAACAGGTAATAGCAACATATTGTAAGAAGAATCATAACACTTAAACATTTAGATGATAGATAAAGTTAAAAATGTGCACAACGAGATAGGAAACTAGGTTAGTTTTCTCCATCGAGCATATAATCAGAAATAAATACGAAATAAGGGCCATCTATCCCTTGCAACTCATCAGGTAAATGGGTCTCATATCACTTTTAAATATCAACTCTCGTTTGCGCTGAAATCACAAATTAGAAAACTGAAAAAGTACAGCGTTAACAAATGACCTGTGTGTACGACTCCGTATATTCCAAAAATATTCTGTATTTATTGTAATAAAGATAATATCTCTAACAATGGGGGCTGTTCCGTTCAGTGGTGTGGGAAACAGCAAAACATCTAATTACGAAACAAACTGAATCACATTTCATCAGTAATTAAATATTAAATATGTAATTTTCGTCGATTATAGCAAAGCTCAAGTTAAACTGGTCAATTTGAAGTGAAATAATTGACGACACCTGAATGTTTCGAATTCGGGCTGAATTATCGGAGCGCAGTTGTCACAGTAATGGTTTGGCAGAATAGTTTTCAAACAAATTAAATGACATTTCGTATCTCTTTCTGGTTATATACGCGATGGTTTTCTCTAATAAGTAGTATCCTACAACTTTCATTAGCCCATTAACGAATTGTATAAAAATTTGGGCTTTCTTATTGGCTATTCTTATTATACAACACTATCACGTAATTTTCTTTCGATATAGTCTTCCATTATAATATTTCATCTGAACTCTTCTTTATCACTAATGGCTTCAAACGACTTCTCAGTTTCACTAACCTCTTACTTACTTTTCCTGTTGAAGTTGGGTTCCGCAAATCAGGCATAGATTTACTTTCATGTACAGGAAGATGTTCTAGTGATTTGTTCACAGTACCATAATACCTTGGCATACTGAAGTCTTCCTTGTGCATCATTGCTGATTGCTGCTGCTTTATCGCTTGAAGACTTGTTTCACCTTTATACTCAGGTACCGGTGGAACTTCAGCAAAGAACCTTGGTAGGTTATTACTCTTTATTATTGGAGTATCCGGTAGACTACTGAGTCTTAGTTCGTCAGATCCTGGTAGTATACCAACCATAGATTTGCTCTTATTTAACGGAGGCTTCTCAGGAACTAAATGTTCAGGGATATTTAAGAACGATGCGCTTCTTTGTGGCACTCTTGCCAATAACTTATTAATTTTATCTGGATCGACATTCTTTAGGCTGTCTACTTTATTCAACGTTGGCTTAATTAATTTACTTCCACTGTCAGCATTTTCTAACGTCCTAGCGCTGTTGCTTCTAGGTAAATCCCTTTGTCTAAGAATTCCCTTAACGTTATCTCCTCTTGGCAATGACAAAGTTGAAGGAACAGCTAAATTCGATACAGGATCATATTTATAAATAGGATTTTGTGTTGTAATCTTTGTTTCGTCTTTGATTGTGATAGTACTTGGTTTTATGACATCCTGTTTCTTAAGAGAAACATTCATAACTAGACCTTCTTCTGCATCTTGACTCTTAAGGCTTTCTTGTTCTTCGTCTATTTTAAATATTTCGTGGGCTAATATTTCATCTTTGAACATAATTTCAAAATCAGTTACAGGGGAATTGACTTCATCTTCGAAGTACACTTTGGTTCGATTTGGTTTGTCTATGTAGTCAGGTTCTGATTTGGTTTCTATTTCGTCAAGAGAATTTGTACTGTTAGCTTTAAGTTCGTGCTCTTCTCTAAATATGAGTGATTTAGAGAAGACCTGTAAATGATACAAATTAATAATTAATCCCCAGAAACAAAACTTGCACTTTGAAAAAAAAAATAACAAGGAAATGGAATGGGAATGAGACGTGGAACCAAAATGGAAATGATCGATTTAAGTCATATATTCTGTCTGTACTCAATTACAAATAACAAACGATAATATTTTAATTTATTTAGTCATTTAATGTGTTATTTTGTATTCATGAAAATATATTAGTCAGTTCAATTCAAATGTTACTTTGTTTAAGAAACTATGGTATTGTCCTTTGAAAGGATATTAGATTATTATGTATCAAAGGTCAGGGAACGGAGACAGACAGGTATCACAAACCAGACAAATAAACCAACTTACCTCGTACAACTTGTCAGCATGCAAAGGTAATTCATTTATCTCTCTTCCAGGGACATCTCTTGGCGGCAAGTGGTTATTATTAATGGGCTGCTGGGTAACAACGCTGTTCAGGCTAGCTCCCATGTTCGTGTATCCATTTGTGTAGATTGTATCCTCTTCTAACCTGAGAATTAGAAAAATTAAATAATTAATAAAGACAGCATGATTCTCTGGCTCATAATTATCCACAACTCGTTATGCAGATGTAGGAGAGTTTTGGTCCCGATCATCGAGTATATAACCAGAAATAGAGACGAAATGTCATTTAATTTGTTTGAAAACTATTCTGCCATATCATTACTGTGACAACGGCGCTCCGATTGGCCAGCCCGAGTTCGAAACAATTGACGGGTGTCGTCAACTGTTTCACTTCAAATCGACCAGATAACTTGAGCTTTACTATGATGGACGATAATTGCAAAATTACATATTTAATATTTAATTACCGATGAAATGTGATTCCGTTTGGTTTGTAATTAGATGTTTTGCTGTTTTTCCCACACCACCGAATAGAACAGCACGGTATTGTTAGAGATATTATCTTTATTACAATAAATACAGAATGTTGTTTTGGAATATACGGTGACGTACACACAGGTCAGTAGTTGGCCTGTCTATATTTCAGTGCAAACGGGAGTTGATATTTATAAGAGCTGTATCGCTAATGTGTTACCAGGAATATATGGCATTTATTTCGTCTCTATTTCTGGTTATATACTCGATGGTCCCGATTTACCCAAGATTCGCATGACTGTAGATTTCTTCCCTAAACGCTATTAATTGGGTCTATACAAAGCGAGATCAAATAAGTTAATACATAATACATATATTTCACATATAAGTGTTAGTCTATTTCAATTTATTACACTATAAATACAATTTTAACAAGTCTATACAAGATTAACATTGTCGAATTATAATAATTAAATAGCTTAATAATATAAATCTTGCGCAGTAATTCCTTTAATTTTAAGTTTAATTGGTTATCGTTTATGGAAATACATTTTTAATTTTAAAGGCATTCAAAGGGACATATGGTAGTGGGGTTGGATTACCTAATTAAATTACGCAAGTAACATTGTAATAAGTAGGACCTGAAGATTTTAAACGCTCTATGAAGATATGTATTTTTAAGTCAATAGCATGTTGGGCTTTAAAACACTTTGCACACTTTAAAACACATAGGCTATAATATTATATAGGTGTGAAAGGGTTGTAACCCTAACTAACCGTGCACATGTTCACGGCAATGAAACGGGAAACTTCCGGTCCACAAAATTTATTAATGAAGTAAAGTTTAAAGAAAGGGCTGTAACAATAAAAAGGTAAATGTAAAAACACAGGTACAACAGTATAAAACACTCCCTACACCCCTAAATGGGCCGAGAAACAGTGAATTACAGAAATAGATACATGAAGGGTGTAGACTTATAAATTATTATACATGATTAGCTTATTAACAGCTCTGACTGTTGTGGCGGACGAGCTGGGAGTGACCGTGGTACGAAAACAAAATGAGAGAGTGAAGGAAGATGGAACAATTCAAATTTAAAATTTAAATACAAGTAAAATAAAAAAAATGATACGATACAAGAGGAGAGAGGCGATACAAAGAGATGAGATGAAGTTGTAAGGAGGTCACACCGTCACAGGTGTACATGCTTTATTGTCAACCTCATCGTCACTTTTTATCAAGTGAGATGGAGGTCAAATGCGTATTTATATTATCCATAAAGACTGAACTACCCTGAATTGCTGTTTCCCATATTGAACAATAGAAAGAACCAGTGCAGGGGACTTAAGATTTTGTGTCTGACGGCTGTCAACGAATTAGGAAACTAGTTCCAAATGACGGGACGAATAAGTCGTGCGCCTGGTGGTAAGCGACACACCATAGCAGTTGCAGTGTGACTCAGAACTTTAAATCGTAAAGATCTGAGGCGCACTGCCAATGCGCCCGTCACGCTGAGACATAAGTTGATATGTGCCTGTAATTTCACCAGCACCCTTATCGAATGCGCGGAGAAGATCATAATATAATGAATTACATGATTCAGTTTGACCGGCAAGATCATTTTCTCGACAGTACTTCCGTGGAAGAATTCTCTCACAACCAGCTCTACTGCTGTTAACTTGTCTTTAAATACGTATATAATTCTACAATTGACTTGAAGTTTGACTAAATATGATGAATATCATCATACTGTCGGAAAGTACTCTTACATAACGGCAGTAAATAAAAAAAAGAATAGAAGATATCGAGTTCTTAGGTTTTCGCGATTGTTACACATAGGAAATGAAACTATTTTTCCGGATTTAAATCGCGCATATTTGTTTTTTGAAACAAACCGACGTTTCGGGCCCTTTGCAGGTCCCATGGTCACGATTGACTGAGGTGGTACAGTCTTCAACCAGTTATGTCTAATATTAATGCAAACCACCCTATTTTTTCGCTATAGTTGCAATAGTTATAAATTAATTACCTTATTTTTAATTTTACAAAGATTTTACAAAGAATTTTAATTATACGCGATTTAAATCCGAAAAAATAGTTTAATTTCCTAAGAATAGAAGAATTAAAAGTAAGAAATTACGCTGAGATTATTGGCAATTTTTCCCTTTGAGTTGGTTAATCTGATTCATTGACGGAAATATCTGCCAACTTGACATAACTAGATTGATAACCATTACTACAAGTACATTTATTGTTTACGAAATATATAATCTTGGCAGTGACCTTCAACGTTTTGAGATCATCTTGCAATAGATAAACGAACAATATCATTTGTAATCGTTCACGCCAACGCCACTGCAAGATTTTCTTATGTTTACGTCACGTATTGAGAATTGAAAATTCTCGCTCCGTAAATTCGTAAATAAATTTAAATTATCTGAGTTGTGTGCCGATAGAGTCAATAACAGGATTTTATACGTTTGATATTCTGCTAAAAGTTAAGAGGGAGAATGCCAAAAAAGTTTTGACGTTGGCTCCGCCCAAATTATATGCCTGAAGTTCGCGTGACATGCGACAGGAAATGTTGAATTTTGCGCATTAACAGCACCAAATTCGTTTTAGCGGAATAACCATTGACTTACAATTATATGTAAGTCAATGGGAATAACTCTAAAACTAAAGGGATTAAAAAAAATCCGTAGCGACAGTTGTCGATCATGCATAAATATAATTAATTATCTAATTTTTGTCCTAATAACCAGTATAACCAGTATAAATCGGCAAAATCGAAAAAATGTGAAAATTAGAGATCCTTTCGTGATTTTATCTATCGAGGAAACTTTATTGTTTTATGTTTCTGATTAATGTCTATGCTTGAATATATCGTGTAGTTACTCATACAATATTTTATTTTTAACTTTACCCCTACCCCTCTAAAATCAAATCGAAGATAAGGAATTTTTCCTCTGCTCCCTCTTAAGAGTGCTTGTCAGTGACTAGCCATGGAGCTACTAATCGACAACCATTGAATTTTTTTTGTATTCTGCTCTGCAATGGCGAGTCGTCGGCACGTTCGATGGTCTAGTCTATAAAAATACGTTTAATTTGAAGATTAAATTACTCATTAAACGAGATAAGATTTAAGATACGCATTTTTTTATTTATAATATCAAGTGACCGGACGAACAAGTCCTGCGCCTGATGGTAAGCTTCACGCGTGTCCATAACAGTGGCTCTCAGACCTTTAAATCGCAAAGATCTGAGGGAAATCGCCACTGCGCCCGTCACAACCGGAACACAGTACCTAATGCTGACATTATTGCCTGGCGGCAGAAATAAATAAGGTGGCAGAACTTCCCTAGACGAACTCTTACACAAGGGGCTCTACTGTTTTTAAAATTTCCGTGGTCGAGAGTCTTGCACATCGGTTTTCATGGTGTCGCCATCTATGACTTTCTTGATTCGATCTCCGGCTGGGTCAATATAGAAAAACTAACTTTTCTACATTGTTTCTCAGGATCTCAATTCTGCTAATTTTTTTGAAACCATTGGTCATTGTAATTCCATAGAAACTCCACTAACAATATGCTCAGGACTCATTGAAAACCAGCGTCACATTGTGGCTGTGGCTCATACTGAATGTATTTTGCGTACGCCACAACAAATGACAGTACAAAATTTGTAGTCGTTATAATTTGTTTTTTGCTTTTTGTCAGATTTGTCTTATTTAATGTTATTTTTTTATTGTATTTTTATTTTGTTTATTAATTTTGTAATTTTTTTTTTTTTTTGTTTTCCTTGTTAGTGTTATCATTTTTTTTGTATCTATGTGTTGTGGCGTTGCAATGAATGTCTATTCTGTTCAATTCTATTCTGTTATATTCTACATATTTTATATTGCAATTAATAAATATTACACAACATCACATTCGTTGCCCTGATCCCCAAGGAAGTATTAAGAGATTTCTATATCATAATCTAGCTTTGTAAACAATAGGACGTTTGGTAACTTTCATTCTGCCGCCGAGCAGTAATGTTAGCATTACTGTGTTCCGGTTTTGAAGGGTAAGGGTGCTGGTGAAATTACAGGCACATGGGACTTGTCTACTTACGTCTCAGAGTGACGGGCGCAGTGGCAGTGCCCCTCAGATCTTTGCGATTTGAAGCTCTGAGTGGCACTGCAACTGTTATGGACAGGCGTGTAGCTTACCATCAGGCGCACGACTTGTTCGTCCCGTCACTTGATATTATAAAAAATAAGAAAAAGTACTTGTCTTATGAAAACCGGAAACAACGACGGTAACACAAACACCCAGACCAGTATAGAAAAATAAGTTTCTAAATTGACCCAGCCGGGTATCGAACACGGTCCCTCGGAGATGGCGGCATCATGAAAACTGGTATGCAAGCCACTCGAACGCGGTGGTCGTCAACACGGAAGGCAACATTGGAGAAGACAGCTACGAAGAAACTGTTCAGATCAAATCGAGAACGTTTTTTAAAAGGTTGAAGTGCATAGTGAGAAGAATAAAAGGGCTTGTATGTATACATTGAAGAATGTATATTATGATGCATTGATATTGGTGAAATTACTTGGTTCTTGTCAATTTACGTGGGTGACAGGCGCAGTGACAGTTTCCTCAGAGCTTTGCGATTTAAAACTCTGAGTGGTACTGCAACTGTTAGACATGTCACTTACCATCCGTGAGTTTTACATTTAAGAATCGATACAACCTCAAATGGCTTTGGTTGATTCTGCATAACAGTGGAAATACTTTGAAAAAAAAGTATGATAAAAGTGAGGATATGCACTGATTAAGTCCTTAAGGTATATATTATATCAGGTCATGTGGCCTTAAATAAATAAAAACAAATAAAAAAAATAATATACGGCGCGAAAACACGATTCCTAAAATTTTTCACGATAGAAAAAACGCAAACTTACCACGAAATTTTACAAGAAAATCGCTGTACTCAATAATTACTTTACATATACCCATTGACTTACAATTATATGAACGTCGGGTCCGCGCTAAAAAGTGTTCGAACTTATAGGGCGTTAAAATCGTATACAGAGCGTCTTTCACGCATTAGTCTTCGTTTGTTCGACTGACAGCGAAGCAAGCAAAATTAGACAGTACTGCGATGACATTACAATTTAAATTCAACGTTTTAGCTTTTTCATATTCCTTTACATGTCACTACGTTTAAATAGGTTGACTTGGGACATTTTTTTCGTGGTTTTTGTATTAGACCCGTCGTCCATTTATTTGTAAGTCAATGCATACCAATGATTTTTTTTATATCAACTGCACTAATACGTATAGTATACGGTATACATTTTTGAAATGGGTTTTTTTTTCGTTTGTAAAAAAAAAATCTGAAATAAAGCCTAAATAAAATGAACCGTATTTGTACGGGAAAAAAAATAACTTGAGCTGAGGTAGGTAATACCTTAAAAGTAACCTTAAGAGGTTATTTACTTCTCACCTACAGATATAATTATGTATGTATACTTACTTATAGGTAGCTATCTTCTTGTCGAAGCAAAATCTTTCTTCGCAGCATTTCCAGTACATACTTTCCAGACAGCTGGAAAATAAATAAACACTATTATTTTAAAGACAATAACGAAAATAATTGCTAATATTAATAAGTTTTTTCATAAAAAA